TCCATTCTTTGTGTGTGCCAATAGACTGTTGTATCTCTTTTTCTGATATATCCTGATGTGATAGCCAACCTGATTCTATTAGGGGCTTATCACCCTCCACACACCCCATTTCATGTAAAACGGAGTGAATCTGGGTGGTTGCCTTCCCCTCCCTTGGGAGTGTCCTCAGTTGATGCGTGACAGACCACAGCATCCCATTTGGTAGAGCAGTCTGCAACTGTATGTTATCTTTATGACCTTCCCATTTGGGACAGCAGTCTGCAGCAATATGTTATCTTTATGACTTTGTAAACAGAATACTCTGCACCTGTGTAATATTTTGTTTCAACTAAACTGTGTGAAACTTTCCCCAAACCCCACTAATTTAGCAAAGTTCTGCTTCTGTAAAATTCCACTTGCACTCCCCCTCTCCCTGAGCCCTCCCCAAGTAGAAGAGCCACTTAAGAGAAACCCAGAAGCCACTTTTTGGAGTCAAGAGGTTTCAAGCACAAGCCACTCTTGACTCCTGGCAATAAAAGGACTCACATTTTGCTCAGAGTGTTGGTGATTCTCTAAAATCTCTAGCGATTGAGTAACATTAAGAATTGTTTTTCTGCCACTGGAATCAATGAAACTGCAAACATTTTAAAAGGGTTAGTTAGGCTCCTTATTTCAGCCTTGGGGACCTCACAGACCAGTGACAATGAAATGTAAGTAGAAATGAGACAAGGAAATCACAACTAAAAATTGTACTTTGTAAGAAGACTGCAACTTCTAAGACCTGGCTGAAGTCATCCAAGACAGCCCCAAGCCAAATATTCCTTGGCTAGATTTACACCTCTTCCCCACCAGACCCATCACTGCAGGCCACAGATTGCCTCAAGAAAATAAGGAATAGGAGATGGACCCTGAGAAAACCACAACCTCAATGTCAAAAGACCCTGCCCAGATTTACACACCTTCCCTATATCCATCACTAGAAGGCCATAAATTGGCCCAATTTAAGAAGTAAATAAAAGGCTGATTGATTCCAGAGAATATTTAAATCAATTCCCCATGGAAAGGGTGGGGGGACCTCAGGTGTCAGATGTATAACAGGTTGGAAGTAACATCTATTTCCCCTATATCATCCCTATATCAAGGTTACTGTTAGGTCCTTCAGCCAGCTGTACCTTAAGCATCAATAACATATGGCCCAGCAGAATGATTTAAAAAGTTTGGTAACAAAGGAAGCTCCAAAGATGGAACAAAGTAGAATTTGGTTGCTGAAAGGATTAGCATTAAAAAGCCAAGTACCATACTTAGGAACAAAACAACAGAAGAGGTGGCCTGAGGGCTTAACAAGAACCAGCAGAACCCCAACCTCTGCAGCCTCAAATTGCAAGGGTAAAGGTTTTGCTTTGAGAAGAGAGCTCCAGGGCATGGTGTTCCAGAATGGCTGTGGGCTAGGGAAGTTGTTCCTCAGGATTGGATTCACAGTGTTCAGCATTCCAGGCAACTACCAGCAAGATGCAAAAGGATTCTGCTACTGTTCCAGTGGTGAAAGATCTGGATGTCATCCATGTGGAGCTGGTTTTATATGCATGCAGAATGCAAGAGTTCTCAGGTAAGGAAGGCTTTTACCCAGCTTTTAGATAGCCTGGGAGGTCAGGCAGTATGCCCCTGAGAGGGCAGTGTGTCAGGCTGTTACAGTGAAATTTGCTGGCACAGTGGAGACCCCAGAAAGTCAGAGAAGCCAGGAATGCCTATTTACCTGAGGAAAGTCGCAAGGAGTGAACAAAGCTGGCTGAAAAAGAAGCCACAAAGACAACCACCAGCAAGTCCATAGAGACAGAGCTACCTAAGTGCTTTAGAGTTCCTATCTTGCCACAGATTGTTCCAGGTGCTGGACATGGAACTGTTAGGGAATTGATCATGTTAGAGTATGCTGTGACACTGCCAGCACAGGCTGCATTTTCCTGGTGCTTCTTGGCTCTTAGAATGACTTCAAGCTCTCATCTTTAGTTTCCCTCCCACCAAGGCCACAGTGGTCCAGAGAAGTTGAAAACTGCTTCTGCAGGGCGGGACCCATAAAAAGCATTCTGACCTGATAGGTTAAAAGTATCCCACTCCTCATGAATAAGCAATAGCTCAGCCCAAAACTGATAAAAGGACCTTCCTTTCTTTGTTTTCTTCTTCCCCTTCCCCCCCCCCTCCCTCTCTCTCTCTCTCTCCACCCCTTGAATAAAATCTCCAGTCGGACCTCTCAGTGTATGTTTGTGGCCTAATTGTTGAGCAGGATTTAATATTTGCCCTGCTGGATTTTGGTCTTGCTTGGTCCCATTCTTATCCCTTTATTTCTCCCTTTTGGAATGTTTATCTTGTGGCATTGTACATTGGAAGCGTGTAACTTCCTTTTCATTTGTAGGAGGCTCAGAACTAAGAGTTTACCTTAAATCTCAGAGGAAACTTTGGATTTAGACTTTTCAGCAATTCTGAAACTTTGGCATCTCTACAATACACTAAATTCATTTTGCACAAAGGGACATGCATGAGTCTTTTGAGGACCAGGGGTGGAATGTTATACTTCATACTTAGATGTCCCCCACAGATTCTTGCACTCATAGGTGGGGCTTTTTGGAGGTGAATGGATCATGTGGTACTAGATTAATCCACTGATGGTTTTGTAGCCAGATGTGATGCTAGGTGGAGAAACCTGGTGGGAAGAGATGGGTGACTTTGGGCATGCAGGGAGATATACCTATATTTCTGTATCTATATTCTCCTTCCTTCTGCTTTGAGTGCTTCTTGCCTCCTGCTTGCCATGCCTTGAACCTTCTGCTATGCTGTCCTGCCTTGGAACCAGTGGACTATGAACCGAAATCTCTACAAACTGAGCCAAAATAAACCTTCCCTTACTAATTTGTGGTCTTTGGATATTTTGTCCCAGCGTTGAAAAAGTAACTAATTTAATACTTTAAATGTTTTTTTTTCCCTTAAGTGAAACAATTTTATAATGTTATACTGTATTTACCTAACATACAGTCAGTGATCCATGGAAATCTAGGCTCAGGTATTCAATCAATTTCATTGCTGAGACATTGATGATAGCGCTTCATTGTAGTGACCATTTTGACCTTTTCAGTTTTAAATCTTTTTGTTTAGTCACATTTTTCCTGTGCAGTTTACCCCTATATTGGTATTATTTAAATACCAGAAAGGTGATGATGAAAGGCACTAAGGAAATATAAGAATATTTCTGCAAAAACATTTCAAGATGTTCCCCCAAAATGACATTTTATATGATAAAAATTATTACAATGCACAGCAAGATGTTTCTATACTTTAATTTTAAAGGGTTGGAGGTGCAGTTTACTCTCTGTACCTCCTAATTTTAAAGGGTTGGAGGTGCAGGGCATGGGTGCAATATGCCAGCACCTAAATAAGTAAATAAAATTTAAAAGAAGAAATTCTATATAATTTGTTTTTTCGTTACTAAGGGGAGAAAAATAACATAATTTGGACTTCCATTCAGAATCCCCTCATGGTAGAAATAAATCTACTTAGACCTTTTTCTACTTTCTACTAAAACTCTCCTAACTTCCTCTTTTTGGTTCATGACTTCATGAAACTATGAACTCAATTTTACAGAATTAACTGTTTCACGGGCACAAGCTAACTACCTGCTCTGCCACTGAGCTACACCTCCAAGCATTTACCGGTGTTTTTTTCCCGATAACATATCTTCTACTAACATGCACTTTAGCCATTAATTTGACAATAAATTGTTGATACTTGAATTTTTACAACTTAGGTTTTACAAGACTTATGGATAAAAAATAAATTTAAAAGCAAAGTAATTTTATTAGTTTTTATTTATTTTGTTTGCGATAAGCGTCTTTCCATGTAGCCCAAGCTTGCCTTATACTGCAGGACTCACTGTCCATGAACTGTCAATCTTCCTGCTCACAAAATATTGCTTTTCAATTCGCTTGGTGTCAAATCCAATACATTTTCCTCTCAAACAAAAGATGATGCGGAGACTGGGGGATTTAGCTCAGCGGTTTGGTGGCCTGCCTTGCAAGCGCAAGGATCCGAGTTCAATCCCTGGTACTAAAACAAAAACAAAACAAACAAACAAAAGATGATGCGTACTTTCTACTTAGACGTTAAAAAAACAAAGAAAGAAAACCCAAATATTTCTTGTCTCTTTCTTCCTACCCAACAAGAACTCATAAGGTAAGTTTTCCACTACAAGAGCCTCTAGAAGAAGCAATCAATCATGGTATAGGGCATCCGGAGATTTACACATCTTACAGTAAACACTTCGAAACCAAGGAAATCAAAATTTGATAAAATCCTTTCTTCACTTCCTGTTTTGTACCACTTTTCAAGGAAAAAAACCAAACACAAAAAACAAAAAAACCGCTGCAGGAACAATGCCTGCACGCTGATGAATAAAGCGGCCCAAATGCAGAACCTGATATCCACTAATACCAAAGGATGGTCTTAATTAAAAGGCCACTCTCTAGAAGAAACAGTTTAACTGCTGCTTCCTGGAAAAGGACAAAAAATGAATAGGTTTCTTTCAAACTACCGGATGGTCCGCAAGGCGTCTTCCGCTCTCCCCTTCCATTAGCAGCTTTGTTCTTTTCTGAATCTTGCGGTCCATCAGCCAGCCTACTTTATTCATAAAGGGAGTTAACAGACGCTGCTTTCTGAGGCAAAGATTACAGAAACAGCTGTCAGAAAACACGGAATCAAGGGCGAGGCATTAAAGCGTCCTCCAAGCTCCCCAAATGACCAACAAACCCAATGAATGACCACAACCACCGCTGCCTAGCTCTCCCTAAGCAGGGATGAAACTCAGGCCCAGAAGACTTCTCCGCCAATTGAAAAGACGCGGTATCTTGCACCCTGGTTCCTCTTGTACCTCGCTCCTCCCCTATGACTCCGTCACAAGGACAGCAGCTGTATATTTTTTGGCTCCCCCCAAAGAAGCCCAAACCAAGCCACACACAAGATGGCAGCCACACACCTACCTAAGAAAACAGCTGCGCCCCCACTCTTGAGCCTCAGGCCCCTAGACTGCGAGTAATCCAATTGGCCCATCCGCAACGCGAGACAAGAAGAGAGCTCTGAGAGCCAATCAGAAGGCGGAGCTCTCCGGATGCTGCGGCTTTGTCGGCTGTCTGGCGGGAGACCCAGTGAGGCGTGGCCGTACTAGGAAGTGCTGATGTTGGGCTGCAGGCAGTTCGGCGGTAGGGGCTTTTGCGGTCAGATTCCTTCCTTTTAGTGATCACATCACCGAGGACACTGGAGGGTGTAGATGGTGTTCTTCCTCCTTCCGGGCTGAGGTGAAGTCTGGTAAATGGTGAAGTACTTCCCGGCCAGAGGGTACGTTCGGCCGGAGGTCCCTGCGGCACCGAGTTGGAGAGGAGCTGGACTCGCGGGCGACACCAGCCTCGCCAACGGAGCAGGCGGAGCGCCGCCCTCAGGTGTGGCGGGCGACTTGGAAAAACCCTGTGGAGTCAGTGTTGCCGACGCGGGTTCCTCTAGCCAGGGAGTGGGAGGACCTGCAGAGCGCCGCGGGGCCCTCGATGGCGTAAGCCGGGACCCGCGCCGGCTGGTGCAGCCCTTTCCCTTGCGCTCTCCCTCGCTCGCAGTCCCAGGCTGCAGAGACTGCGGGCGCCCTGAGCTTTCAGCCCCTACTTCGTTCTTTATCTCCTGGTGCTTCCCGAGAAGCTGGGAGGGAACCTGAAGCTGTAGAGGGGACTGCAGTATAAAATCCAGAAGCCAACTTGAAGCTTTAACCACTGACCCAATTTATAGGTAAGATTACACAAGCCCTGAATAAGTGAAATCATTTATCCAAGATCCCGAAGTTGAAATTAGATCATAAGAGCTCCTGATTTGCGTCACCTACAACCCAATAAATAAAGTACAGATATGTATGTAATGTACTGTTGCTCTTTGGCATGTGGGTACCTGCAGCGAGTTAGCTTACTGTAGGGAGGGTCGAGCGGAAAATGGTAACTTTGAGGCGGTAGAATGAATGGTGGATAATCAAAGCATAGGCTCTTGAAATCAAACTGCCTGATTTGTGTCTGCTACTTACAGTGTGACATTCCTGACCTTCCTCATCAGAAAAACCGTTTTTCCTACATGATTACAATGTGAAATAAAAACATGAATTATTAGAAGGTGCCTAATGCAATTTATACTCAATAAATGTTGACTACTATTATAACTAAAACAGGGAACCGAAAAGGAACTGTAAATCGAAGCGAAGCAGACTGAATTAGTTCTCTCCCAAAATGAAAAAGTGAAAAAGAAAAAAGAACAAATTGAAAAATCCCAGTTACTGTGAAATGTTAGCATCGTCTACCTCTGTAAGTGTTTGTAAGTGATTTAATTTTATGTCTTACTGTATCTTGCAATTTTTTTTTTTTTTTTTTTT